TTTTAAAAATCAGGTCCAAAGTTTGTATATTCAAAAATCAGGTATCAATTGAATATTTAAATAATAATATAATACTAATAATTCACACAAACCCTAATTCATTTTCAGTATTTGTTTTCTCTCACTACCCTCTCTTTCCCTCCCTCCCATCTCTCTGTCCAAAATCGGCTGCCCACAGGAAGAACGCCGTCGCCGGCACTGCCCACCGGAAGAAAGTCTTGTACGATGCTGGATGCAGCGCCACCTCACCAGCAGCGTTCACGATGTCGCCACTGTAGCGACGACGCTTTAAAATCTGGAACTGGTTCCGATGTGATACCAGCGTCGCTGCAAGAAGACGACGCCGTCGGCAAGATGCACGACGACTGGAGTTGCTTTTGCAATCGATGGTTGTGCAACGAGTTGGTGGTGCTGGGACTGGGATCGATGATGTAAGAGGGTGGGGGTGGCTGGATGCGGTGGTGGTAGGGGTGTGTGTGTGTTGTGGGTGCGGTGGTGGTGGTGGCTCTGCCGGTGTGCAGTGTTTTGTGTACGTTTTGGGTGTGCAATGTGCGGTGGTGGTAGGTGTGTGTTGTGGGTGTAGTGTTTTTGGCTTTATCGGTGTGCAGTGTTTTTGTGTTGTGGGCACGGTGGTGGTGGCTCAGCCGGTGTGCAGTGGCTCTAGCGGTGGGTGGGTTTGACAGTGTTTCTGTGTACGATTGTGGTGTTGTGATGGTGTTGTTGGTGGATCGAGGTCGAGGTTTGGTGTATGTGACCAATATTTGGTAGGTTCAGATCTGGTTGGTGGTCGTGATAGTGGATCGAGATCAATGGTTGGATGTTTGGTGTATGTGACCAACCGACTAACCCGTGACCTTAATATCCGATCATTTGTGATTAAAAAAATAATTTGTGACTTTGATCTGTGACCAACGTAATAACTGTGACCTAAAATTTTTTATCTGTAAACAATGAAATAAACTGTGACCTTTAAAATTTTTGATATTTGACCTACGAAATTTTTGATCTGTGACCAATGAAATAAACTGTGACCTATAATTATGTATCAGTGACCATTAATTGTATAATTGTGATCTTATTACATTTAATTAATAAAATATTTTTAATTAATAAATAAATACCTGATTTTTGTATTTTTAAACTTATGACCTGAAAATTGAATTGGATGAAATGATATATGAATTTTTCCCATAATTGAAATGCTCTTGACTCGGTCAAAATTGGGATTTGACCGAATTAACCGACCATTTACCCGACCCGGTTTGATTGTGTTTTAAAATTCTCTTACAAAATTTAAAGGTCCAACTTCCAAGGGAATTGAACATTGGATCTCTAAGAAAATTAATGAGTTCCCCACCACTTGACATAGTGTTTTAGTATTATTTATGTGCAAATAACTTATGAACTTGTTTGGAAGGGATTTTAATCCAATTAAAATTGAAAATATAGTCGTTATTGGGTCTGACTCGTCTAATAAAAGTAACAATAACTGCTAGTTTTTCAATTTTAATCACTCCCAATCAAGCTCTATATCTATTTAATGAATAATTTGTAGGTTTTATAAAAAGATTTTTTAAAAAAAGATTTTATTCAACATTTTACTTTATTTTATAAACTTAAATAATTAGTGGAAAATAAATTAAAAATTTTAATGTTGCCTCAAAAACAATTTATACTTTATATTTTTTTTGTAGGTTTTTATGCAATGACCCACCAGTTGAACCACCTGCTGCATTGTCCGGGTCAAGTCGACAACTATGCCCAGAACATTTTTAGCCCCTGTTTAACCGCCATATTTTTTTAAAATCTTTTTTCTATATACTCATTTTCAACCATTCATTCACACAATAAAATATTTTGTACACAAACTCAAAAATTTTCTCTATTTTTGAATTATACATTATCCTAAAAATCACTATTCAAAACTCTATTTTCCAAAAGCATGATTGTCAAACATGGGGCTTAACTTCAAAAAATTGAGTTAAAAAAATATTTATCCTTGAACATGTACCCGGAAGAGTTCTATGATACTTAGAAATTATGTTTTTCTCAAAGATTAAATAAGGAAACAAGACTTCTGTATACAAACACTTGGAAGTCCAGAGATTTTTCGTAACATGCTTTCTTGATTGCCAGTAATTAATGTCTTGTGCTCTTGAAATAGGTTCTTGTTTTTGAGTTTTTGGTTATGGTATCAACTCATTAGGTGCAATCTGAACTTTGAGCAAACTAAAATTAATTGAAGGGTCGGAGCCCGGAGGCAATTCAAGAAAATCATGGAACTCAAAATTGTTGATCAAATTGAAGATTCAAAGAATTCATATTATCCGGAGGAAATTAAATCACGAGGCAATTATTCCCCTTTAAATATCAATGTCATAAATAGTTTAAATATGCAACATATTATCTATGAAATATCCTTATCCTGCTTAAAAGATTTTTTTTTCTCTTAGGGTGTGTTTGATAACACCCCTTTTTCCATGGAAAATGGAATATCTTTTCCTTTTCCATCTAAATGTGTTGTTTGATAGTCACTTTTTGCCATGAAATTTACCAATTTTATTTTCCATTCACGCGCCTACTTCCAGGC